AAACGCATGTGATAGGGGGGAAGAAGGGGAGGAGGAGGCAGCTGGTGTTTGACTCTGACTCTGAGGAGGGGAGTGGTGATGGGGAGGTGAGTGAGGGAGGAAGTGAGGGAGGGAGTGAGGGAGAGAGTGAGGTGGAGGAAGAGATTGGACTGGCGGAGATGGAGGGAGGAGAGAGGAGGGAGGGGTTGGGGAGGAGGAAGGAGGAAAGGAGGGAGGAAAGGAGGGAGAAGGCTTGGAAGGTGTGGGAGAAGCAAAGGGGCACAGAGGAGAAGAGAGTGCAGGAGGCGCCGGACTGAAGGCAAGGGGGGCTGGGAATGCCAGAGGGAGCAAGACTGGACTAGCAAAGGAGACTGGACCAGCCAAGGGAAGACGTGGCAACGATTCTTTCACAGATGAAGATGACTCCCTCATCAAGACTCTCTACAGTGAAGCTTCAAGACTTAAGGGGGTTCACGGCAGGGGCAGGAGTAAGGGCATGAGAGGGCGGCTGCCATTGCTAGAGAAATTTCCAAGGCTATGGAAGGGAAGTTTTCAGCTGCCCGGATTTCCCAGCGCATCCAGTTTCTGGGGCTGCCCGAAGAGGGAGCGGGTAGGAAGACAAGGAGTGCGAGGAGGAGGCGTGGGAGTGGTGGGCTTGATGATATTCTGAGGGACATGGACGGAAGTGAGGGAGGAGAGGAGGGAGGAGAGGGGCGAGGAGGGAGAGAAGGGAGAGGAGGAAAGAGAGGAGGAAGAGGAGGAGGGAGAGGAGGAGGAGAGGAAAGAGAGGAGGGAGAGGAGGTATTGGGGGAGGTTGAGATAGAGAAGGAAGTGGAGAGCGAGGACGAGGAGAATGTGCTACTGAGTAAGCGACAGAGAGCCCTGGCTGCTGCTGCTAAAGCGAGGAGAGGGTGCAGGACAGACAGACAGAGGGGCGGAGGAGTTACTAGAGGAGGAGAAGCACGGAGGGAGAGGGAGATAGGGGGTTTAGAGGGGCCAGAGAGAGTGACGCGGGGCGGTGTGGCCGCTGGTTTTGAAGGGGATGGCGATGGTGGTGGTATGGAGGCAGAAAGAGACGATTTTGCAATCATTGCTGTGGACAGTAGTGGCCGGTGGACAGATTCTGCAACCATTATGGATGGCACGGGCATTGGAGCAGGAGCCACAGGCGCTGCTATGGGAAGATCTTATACAGAACGTGGTCTTATAGAGAGCGGTGCTGCCAGACGTGATTCTGGTGGAGAGGACGGGTGGAGATAAGAGAGGAGGCAGTGCGCGAGGGCGTTCAAGCAGTGCTTGCTGATGGTAAGAACGTCTCACGCACTGACCCCTTTTCAGGCTCCCTTTTCTTCCGCGTCTCCCCCCTTACAGGCTCAGCTTTTGAGGCGCCTCAAAAATGATTTCCTTCCACTTAACCTCCCTTTCAGGCTCCCTGTCTTGTCCTCTGTGTTTTCTCCTCCCTGGCGCTATGGGCCATTCGTCCCTTTCCTCTCTATCCCCATTCCTCCACTAATCTTCTTTCACCTTTCTTTGTTGCCACTGGTATATGCTCCCTCCTTCCCTTATCCTCTCTCCCTTTTTGGAGGGTGTAATTCCTTGCTTTTTTTTTCTTCTTCTTCTCCCCTTCCCTTCCTTTTGCCGCGTTCAGACGCCTTTGATGGTGCAGAAGCCATCCGATGGCTGCAATCGCGCCTGAAAGCAGCCCACGCCAGCTGGACGGACGCGATCGCTCGAAACAGCTGGCAGCTCCTGCTGATGGACCGCCCAGATTCGCTCGGCAGGAAGGGGAAGAAGACAAAGAAGGGAGGGAGGAAGGAGGGGAAGGAGGGGAAGAGGAAGAGAGGGAGGAGGAGGAGGAGGGGGAGGAGGAGGGGGATGGAGGGTGGGGGAAGTTGTGCATGTAGACTTTTCTTTGGTGGAGGAATTGGAAGATTGGGACACGGTGGCAAATGACAGCATGGCACTGCTGCTCTCAGGTGCGTTTTGGTTACTTTCAGGTGTGATTTCTGTTGCTGTCAGGTGCGTTTTCTGCTGCAGTCAGGGCCTTTTCTGCTGCTGTCAGGTGTCTTTTTCTACTGCTCGCCCAACTCTACATTTCCCCCTTCTGCAGCTCTCTGCTTGAAGCACCCAGATGAAGCGGATGTAATGAGTCGATTGTTGAGTCGACTCAAAAGTCACTTTGAGTCGATTCAAAAGTCACTTTGAGTCGATTCAAAAGTCACTTTGAGTCGACTCAAAAGTCACTTTGAGTCGACTCAAAAGTCACTTTGAGTCGACTCAAAAGTCACTTTGAGTGGACCCAAAAATCGACTCATTACACCCAGATGAAGCGGATGGGTGCTGGCGCATCCCCGCGACAGAGGCACACAGTGGCTGCTGCACGCGGTGGGGATGCTTGCACCAGTCGCCTTCCTCCCTCCAACCCCCACTCCTCCTCCCCTGCATCTCTGCCCTCTGCCCTCTGCGCCCTTCCTTTCCCCCCCACCAGCCCTAAGCTTGAAGCACCCGGACGAAGCAGATGGGTGCTGGCGAATCCCTGGCGACAGGGGCACGCAGTGGCTGCTGCACGCGGTGGGGATGCTTGCGAAGATGGTGGCGGGGGGGAGGAGGTGTGTAACGATGCTGTGGGGATGCTTGAAATGGCTGTGGGGGATGCGAGAGAGGGAGGAGAGATGGGTGGGGGAGGAGGGGGTGCAGGAGAGGAGGAAAGGGGAGATGAGGGTAGGCACGAGGAGGGAAGGCAGGGGAAGAAGGCAAAAATAGGGAGACGAAGGTGTGCGAGCTGACTGTCTGTGACGATTCTACGGCTGTGGATGGAGGCGAGGGAGTTATGAGGGGGTGCCTTGGCCCAAAGCACAAGCGGCGGAAAGAGACAGGCGCGGTACAAGCAGGGCAGAATGGACACGGGTGGATGAGTGAGAAGGAAGGGAGTGTGTGTGGAGGAGTGTGGAGACAGAGGTCGGGATGGAGGGTGAGGAGGAGGGGTGTGAGGGAGAGGGTATTCAACTGATTGCCAAAGTGAGAGAAAGGGGAGAGCGTGCTTTGGAGTCGACTCAAGAGGAGAGGGAGGGGAGGGAGGGGAGTGGTGCTGCATGTGGTGCTGGTGGTGCGGCGGCAGCAGGGGAGGAAGGCAGGGCGAGGGTTGATTGGGAGGGAAAGAGGGAGCATGGTAGCAGAAAAAACAATGGGCAAGGGGAAGGATTTGAGCAGGATGGGGTCAGTTGGAGGCATGAAGGGAGTGTGGAGCATGCGAGCTTCCCCTTGCCGCTGCCCTTGATGCCGGGCGTGCTGGTGCCCGATCCAAACGATCTGCTTTGGTGGCCGACGGAGGCTCGGAACGAACCAAGCGGGTACGGTTTGGTGATTCAGCTACGGAGGAGAGTCAGGGGGTACTAGTGAAGGTTAGTAACGCAGCTGTAAGGAATCAATACCTCCATGGGATGAATTTCAAAAGATATATGCAACTGGTGATTTGGTGACTAATTTAAGACAAACTACCTGTGCGGTATAAGAACATCACTGCAGCAGTGCATCTGAACTGAACTGAATAAAGCTGTAATGTGTTGGAAATATCTCAAAGGACTTAAGCGTTTCGAAGTGTAACACTACACTCGAGGAAGATCGTAACGGGTACGCGAGTCAACGGAGGTTACACGAGGGGTGGACAAAGAACGCGAAGGGACTCGAAGGGTCGCAACTGGAGGTTGCGACTGACCGTTACAACTGCGCGGATGGTAACCGAAGCGACAATCGAGTCGCTGTGCGACTCGATAACCGCTCCTGCAACTGTATTCTACAACCGCTTTACTTTCCTATTTTCTATATATTGCTGTATGCTTGTTTCCTTTAATCAATCACTTGTTCTCATATACTATACAAGGGTTCAACTGCTTCAACTTCCGCTGCACTACTCAAGTCTCATTCTACAACTGGGACTTAGTCTCTGGAAAGATCCTAAGGGTTTTTTTCTCAGCCCAACATGGTATGAGAGCTGGTCAGAGACCAAACTCCCAGCAACTACGCTCCATCTACAATCTGCAAATTCAACGACTTCATTGATTACAAGTCATGGACAGCAAGGGCAAGAAAATCTCTACGGGCTCACCCAGCGCCAAGACACTCAACCCGGCAACTCTGGATTGCACACTTCAGGACTGCAAACCGAGACCGGCGTGCTCAAGAAACAACAGGAAGAGCACCGGAAATGGTGACCCCATCATCCTCTTCAAGCGTGGATCCAAACCTTATGGAAAGGCTCTTCAACTTCATGTCGCACTTCGACCAGCAGCAGCAGACAAGACACCTGCGCATTCAACACAGAGCAACGGAGGAAACATGGATTAGCACCGATGAGCCTCGACAATTCATCATTCGGGCGACACAACCAAGCGCCTACCTTTGCGCCTTATCACTCTTCACCGGGGACATTCGAGTTCATGCCGCCCCGTGCCCAACCAACAGCAGCTGCATCACAACAGACACCAAACGAGATTTTGAGTCTCCAGGCGCAGTTTTCACACGTAATCAAGTTACAGACATCCTCACCGTTCAACGGACACGACTTCTTTACCTGGAGCTTTGAGTTCGAGCTGCTGATGGAGGCTGCGCATCTCTTGGATACTTCAACGGGTCCCTGCCATTTCCAAGCAACGGCACTGCAAAGGAGCAAGAAATATTTACTTATCAGTCGCTGCTGGTGTACACAGTTCTCTTGCGGAACCTGTCACCACAAGAACAGCAGAGCATCAGAACGTATCGGAGCTATGGAAACTCCGCGGAACTCGCATGGCATCATCTCAAGTGTCTCTATCAAGCAAACGACAGCGTGACACAAAGCCGACTCATGCAACAGCTGACAACAATACAGATGAAGACCGGGGAAAAAGCGATGCAGTATATGAGTCGATGCCAGACCCTCCGCGACCGCCTGCTTCGGTGCAGAGGAACAATCACTGAAGAAAGCTTCGTGACGCTTGTCCTCGCCGGGCTCGGGCCAGAATGGAGAACCACACGTTCGCTTCTTCGCGCCCACGGAAGGATCTCGGAGATGCACCTCTGCGCCGAACTTCATGCTGAACAACAGGAGATGGACCTGCTCGAAGAAAGACAACCAAGGAAGCAGCAGCAGTTAGTTTTCTACACTCAACGAAGGAACGACAACAACTACAATCGACGCGGCAAGCAAGATCAACGCGACAATAGAGGACTCACCATCGTGCCGCCGTTTTGCCACAACTGTCAAACATCCGGACATTCCAAAGCCAACTGCACACGTCCTCGTGTCTATCGTCCAGTAGACCCACAAGTCGCTTCCACTCAAGAAAGCCCTCCAAGGCGTTCTTCCACATCTGCACAAGGGACACCGAACATCATCAACTGCATGGTACACATCGATAACTGCGCACCCGGATCACCACCCACTTACGCGCCAGACGAAGAAGAATTTCCGCCGACGCGCTCACAAGGACTTCAGGTCAACCCGACATATACTGCGGTCGCCAACGCCGAACCCACCGGGCGAAACACCTGGTTCTTGGACAGCTGCTGCGGTCAACACATGTGTTCTTCCGGACGCTTCGTGCAACAAGAGCGACGCCTCAACCGCGACGTCATCATCACCGTCGCCAACAACGAGAACCTGAAAACAAATAGACAAGGAGTGGTTCAGTTACAATCCATGGAGACAAACGTTATACTTCAACTAAACAAGGTCCTCATCGTCGACAACTTGGGATACAACTTACTAAGCGTCAGCCAGCTAATGGCAAAAGGGATTCACCTGGAATGCGACTCGGACTCCAACGAGTTTCGCCTTTACCACGGGAAGGGCGGCCTTTCATCGGTCGTGCTCTCCTGAAGTCCGGCGTCTTCGTGTTGGACTTCGTCCCCGACCGCGGTACTGCCGACAGCGATGGGATCGTGTCGTTCGCCGCCTGGACACACCCGCCGGATCTTGACCCCGACTTCAACCCCGATGGATTCTGGTACTCCAACACCATACCTGCAGCAGAGAGAACAAGAGCGTTAGCAGTCATCAGACAAGAAAGACAAGTACCAGCAAGTGTCCCTTCCCAACCATCACCTGCAGTAGCAGCAGCAGGACCCAGCCGAGTACCACCACCAGCGATCCGAGGACCGCCAATCGAAGTAGATCAACTTATGCCCATCACACAAGAAGTCTGCCGCAGTCCCGCCACAGTCGTCGCGTTCTTCTCCAACACCGACATATACCACCGCTCGCCCGGCCATCGCGCTCCCGACGACATCCGGCACCAACGCCTCGGACATCCTGCAAACAGTACAATACTGCAAACCATCCAAGCCGAAGTGTTAGAACGAAACGCCCTCCTTACAACGAGCGGCCAAGAACTTCGACGACCACGCGCACGGTGCTTTACGTGCCCCGAAGCAGATCTTCCCTACCAGCCTTTTCCATCCCATCACAACCCAAGCGCACCTGCATACGCACGGATGGAAAAAGTCTACAGCGATATTTTAAACATGCCTCGAGAAGATACTGAAGCCGACTTCAACTATGTCATCACGTTTATCTACGCAGCAACAAGATACGTCTGGCACTACAACCTCAAGACGCGCGATCGAGCCTTCGGCTCCCCATCGCCGAACGAGAATCAGGAACCAAGCTCAAGAGCTTCCAGTCAGACGGTGCACTGGAATACCAGTCACAACGCTTCAGGACCTATCTGCCGGAAAGAGGAATCAGACGCCTGGTGTCTCTGCCCTACGCTCACCAGCAGCAGGGGGTCGCAGAACGCAAGAACCGGACCTTGCAGACGACGATGCGAAAGCTGCTCCTCGGATGAGACTGCCCACCACACTGTGGCCAGATGCGATGACACATGCAGTCCACCTGCACAATCTGTTGTCCTCGTCATCACTTCCCAACAACGCATCACCGCACCTGCTGTGGACACGAAAAAGGGGCAGCACAAAATTACTCCGGGTTTTCGGCTGCATGGTACAGTACAGACCCCACACAGCCCGAGCAGGACGATTCACTCAACGAGCACAGTGGGGATTACACCTCGGCATCGCAAAACATTTTCAAGCATAGAAAATTCTCGACATACAAGACAAAAATACCGTGGCATCACGTGATGTGATCTTCTACGAAAGACTGACGCTGCAGCATTACCTGGACAACGTCGCCAACACGGACGACCCCACTGACGTTGTCGCAGGCCTTCGCTCCTTCGCCGACCGTGCTGCCGAGGCTGACGCAGCAGAAGAAGACGTACCTGGAGCCTCGGAAGCTGCCGGACCACTCCCTTTCTGTTCCGTACCTGTTCCACTCGACGAAGACAATCCTCTCGATAGCAACAACCTCGACACCTTTTACCACTTCGCTGACCAAGGTTACGTTACACCCCACCCGGTCGACACTAATGTTTCAGAACGCATCGGCCCAAACTTCTTACCTGATCCAGAAGATGGTGACGAAGCAACCTATTCCGGGAATGAAAATTCCCCTCGACACACACCCACGGGACTGCAGATCCTCGGCCTATGGGTCTCCGTCCAGCATCCGCCGCCGCCATCTCCGCGCGAGCCCTCGACTCTGTCGCAGGCTCTGGGGGGGGAACACAAGGCGAAATGGAAGGAGGCGATGGAAAAAGAACTAAAAGCTCTGCAAGACCGAAATACATGGAAGTTGGTACCTGCAACGAACATCAACGGGAAGAACGTCCTCTCGGGAAAATGGGTGTACCGCATCAAGACCAACGCGGACGGCTCCATCGAACGATTCAAAGCTCGATGGGTCGTACGAGGCTTCGATCAACGATACGGAACCGACTACACAAAAACTTTTGCCCCAGTCTCCCGTCACACCTCCCTGCGCATCCTACTCGCCGTCGCGGCCACGAAGAAACTACCACTGCGCCAAATCGACGTCGCAAATGCTTTCCTGTACGCACCTGTGGACGCCGAGATCTTCGTCGAGCAGCCCCACGGATTCATCGACGACCCTACAAAAGTGTGCCAGCTGATAAAATCCCTCTACGGGATCAAACAAGCTCCGCGGCTGTGGCAGCAGCATCTTCACGGTCGCCTCATAAAAATCGGATTCCTACAGCTGCCGCATGACCAAGGCATGTACCGACTGCAGAAGGGAAGAGAGTATATCCTACTCATCGTTTACGTCGACGACCTGCTCTACATCGGTTCCACTACCGACATCGCCACCTGGTTCGAAGGGGAGCTGAAAGAGGACTTGACACTCACGGTGTCCGACGCAGTGACCCAGTACCTGGGACTGAATGTCGTCGAAGACAACTCGGCGTTCTACCTACATGCTGGAAAGTATGCAGGCACTGTCGCGAAGAAATTCGGTCTAACGCCGACTACGGTCCCGACTCCCTACTGCTACGGGAACAACAACAGCACCTCCGCAAAACTCCCCGCGAAGCAAATCCAGGAGTATCAGCAGAAGCTCGGCTGCCTACTATTCGCAGCAGTAACCTGCCGACCCGATCTCTCCTATAGCGCGAGCCAACTGGCGACGCATCTGAAGCAGCCGGAACAAGAAGATCTCGAGGAACTTAATCGGGCACTACTCTACTTCGTCTCCACGCCGACGACCGGGCTTACCTACAGCAAAGTAACGACACCGTCCGTACGATTACTCGGATACGTCGACGCCGACCACGCGGGAGACAAGGAAAATCGACGATCGAGAACGGGCTACATCTACCGACTAGAACCTATCGGGACTATCTCCTGGCAGTCGAGCAAGCAGGAACTAATCGCACTATCTTTGGCTGAAGCAGAATATATCGCCCTCTGTACTGCGACCAAGGAAGGACTCTACCTACGAGAGTTGCTAGAGGAAGCGAAGATTGCGACCCTGCCTGTCTTCTCACTCCTCTGCGACAACCAATCTGCGATCAAAATCGCGAACAAGGACGGCTTCGCCAACCGAACCAAACACATCGCCCTGCGGTACTTCTTCGTCAAGGATGAAATCGCGAAGGGGAGACTTCAACTCAGTTACTGCCCTACGACAGAAATGGCCGCAGACTATCTGACGAAGAAATTGGCGAAGGCCAAATTCGATTACTGCACGCTGCTGACCGGGCAGACAAACGTCACCGGATCTGAACACGTCAGCACTCCAGAAACGAAGGGGAGTGTTGGAAATATCTCGAAGGACTTGAGCGTTTCTGAAGTGTAACACTACACTCGAGGAAGATCGTAACGGGTACGCGAGTCAACGGAGGTTACACGAGGGGATGGACAAAGAACGCGAAGGGACTCGAAGGGTCGCAACTGGAGGTTGCAACTGACCGTTACAACTGCGCGGATGGTAACCGAAGCAACAATCGAGTCGCTGTGCGACTCGATAACCGCTCCTGCAACTGTATTCTACAACCGCTTTACTTTCCTATTTTCTATATATTGCTGTATGCTTGTTTCCTTTAATCAATCACTTGTTCTCATATACTAGTACAAGGGTTCAACTGCTTCAACTTCCGCTGCACTACTCAAGTCACATTCTACAACTGGGACTTAGTCTCTGGAAAGATCCTAAGGGTTTTTTCTCAGCCCAACATAATGCAAAAAGCTTCCCAACAGATGTACAATGTGTTTGTGAGATTTCCATTCACCAAGTTGCAACATCTGGTGCAATGCTTGTACCACCAAGAGAGTTCCACCTGTTCTTTATATAAATTTCCATAAATCACAACTACATTTATCGCACGCATGTGCACTTATTCCCACCAGCTCCAGCCCTCGCCACCAGTGCCACCCCCCTCCACCTATCACAACACCTTGTCACCGTAACTGTCTCCTCTCCTCGCGGTCCCACGGAACCTCAAATCCTCCAAGCCGCAACCACCTGAAAAAACCCCTGCCTCAACTCCTGATGAAGTGAAACCCCCTTGCCGCTCCATCCCACAGCCATCTCTTGAAGAACCTCTAGCCCTTAGGTTAGGGAGGGGTGGAGAGGAGAGCCCTAACCCCAACCCCAACCCTCCAGAACCTTCAGCCTCAATGCCTAAGACTGCGGCGCGATGACGCACTCGATGTTGGGCGAGGTCATGATCCACTGGTTGCCGTTGCTGAAGTGCAGCTCGTGCGGGCACGGGCGGGTGGGCATGGTCCACGCGTACAGCACGTGCACCGTCTCGCCGCGGTACATCTGGATGTTCCCAAGGGGCCCGCGGTTCATCATCAGGTCGCAGTACCCCGGCAGGTCCGGCACCGGCCCGAAGATCTCGCCCGTCTGGTACTTCGTGGGGTTTTTGGCGGGGTTCTTGAGAATGCCCTGCCACACATTGCCGAAGTCCTGGCACTGGAAGACGCGCAGCGGGCTGGTGACGTTGAAGGCGCAGCCGTTGTAGAAGGTCATGTTGAAAATGTAGTTGTGCAGGTCGTACGGCCCCAGGTACTGCGACTTTATCACCACCGTCGTGCGCCCGCACGCTGAGAGGAGGTGGGGGGGGGAGGGAGAGAGGGGAGGGGCGGGCGGGGGAAGAGTGGTTTCAGAGGGGACTTGACCAGTGTAGTGTGCCGGCATGCTGAATTAAGAAGTTGGGGAGGGGAGGACGGAGGGGGAGGGGGAGGGGGAGGGGGAGGGGGAGGGGGAGGGGGGAAGAGTGGTTTCAGAGGGGACTTGATCACCACGGTCAAGCGCCCACAGACTGAAAGGAGGAAGTGGGGGAGGGAGGAGGAAGAGGAGGTGGGTTTCATACCAGCAATCAGGGGAGATGCGAGAGGAAGCATAAAAAAGCAGCAGCTCAAAAAGTTTCAGGGCAGAATCACAGACCAGGCAGCGAAGTACTAGCGAGACAAGTCAGCCAGAAAGGGGGGGGCGGGGAGGGGAGGGTGGGAGGAAGACTCACTGGTGGCGAGGGCCTTGCGGCGGGGGATGTGGTCGAGGTAGTCCGGCAGCTCCTGGTCGTGAGAGTAGGTCTCCGCAGCCAGAATCCGCGGGCCCGCCGTCTTCACTCCGAGGTCCCTCCCGGCATGGGCAGGAGCGGCCAGCAGACACACCGCCAGCGCGGCCAGCAGCAGCAGACGAGCAGCGAGAGGAGCCATTGGAAACGGAGGCGAAAACGGAGGAGAAGCAGAGGAGAGGCCGAGGGAAGGGTGGAGGAAAGCCCACAATGAGACCTCGGAGGTGGGTGCTTGAAACTGTGATGAAAGCCATGGGGACTTGGCTCCTTTTTATACGATGCTCCCTGCTAGCTCGTTGCCTTGTTGCCTTGTTGCCTGGTTTTCAGCCACCAGCCGACCATGCCTTCCCTCCTCGAGACGCGTTCGCATGCTGACCCACACGCTGCCATGCTGACAAGGCATGACAGAGCCGATGTCGGATTGGCCAGAAGTGGCGGCGCGTCATAGCGCTTCCAAGACAACGAGTGAGGTAGTTACTATGTCTGGCTGTGACCTTGTCTCAGCTTGGAGGCTGGTGCATCCGGGCAACCATAATCCATTCGCCGCGAAGCAGGTGGTTACCAAGTCCGACCTTGTCCGGATTTCCCTCGGCTCGAAGGCTGGTGCATCCCGCCTAACCATAATCCGTGCGCCGCGAACGAGGTAGTTAGCATGTCCGGATTTGCAATCGTCGCTGGCTGTTGACAGGGAAAACTTGGTTGACTCAACGAGATCGCCGCTCCAAGTATCGTTGACACATGCCGTAATGGCACATGCCCGTTTTGCCACATGGCCGGTATGGAACATGAGTTTGGTGGTGCTCGATTGCGTAGTTTACCGGTGTTTCATCCGCGTCTCATCCAGCGATTCCTGGCTCGCCCTTCTATAACGCGTACGCCGTGGAATTATCGCACTAGTAGCGTAGCCGGGAAAGCAGTCGTACGTAACTGGGGAAGGCAGTTATAAGTTTCACACGTAAGGAGGCGTCTTTGATCGGATGAAGCGATAGGGAATCCGTGTCGAAAAGGGGATCCCAAGGGGATCCGCGCCGCATGTCGTTCAACCGCACCGACAGCCCGACTCGAGGCGTCAGCACCAGACTCGTTATCCGGATTTCGCCAACATCGGCCCGTCAATCAGTTAGAAACACCGAGCCGATGCGTGCGGTGCGAGGCATACAACGGTACCTTCGAGCCGACGGTGCGAGGTACACCACGGAACGGAACCTACCGCGACGAAGCCACTAGTACTGACTGGTCTGACACGCACTGGATCGAACCTAGGAATACCTGCCACGTAAGACCTACAGATCCAACTGTATCTCGGACAGACGGACAGGATGCATGCGAAAATATGTACACTGCAGTCGCAGCGAGCCGGTTTCGGAGCACGATTGCTGGGCGAGGGGCGGCGCGGGCGAGGCACTGCAGCTGCGGCGATTGGGCTTCCATACACACAACGGATGACCAAGGAGAAAACGGATGGAGGATACTTTACTGTACAGTACCGTGAACCTGGGGATTACTCGGAGGCAGGAGTGATGGGTAGGAGGAGCGAGATGAGAGCAGAAAGCTGATGGAGAAGACTCCAAGACGAGCGAGGGGTGATACAGTAGTAGAGGCATTGGGAATGCCGCGCTGTTGAGAGTGCAGGTGTGGGGAAGATTGAGGGTTTGCCGGGCGGTTGGGTGCAGTGCAGAGGAGAGAATGCGGAAAAGGGGAGGTTTTGGCAGCTTCACTTATCCTCTTCTAGAACAGAGCCCGTTCTATATAGAGGCTGTTTAATGAGACTTAATTCATGCAGGGCACAAGCAAAGCAACTTCATTATTGACTTAGGCAAGCAACTTGAAAACACGATGCATGCTCCCTGAACGCCGCCTCCTTGCGAACACCGGTAAAATCTGTAGGAAACAAGTGTTATGAATTTGACTTGAATAAGGGTGGAAGTCAAAATAGTGAGTGCTACATTTATAAGAAGTTTATCGTCTTATAGGGCTTGACCAGGAGTTCGTGAGAGCGATCTAGGGTTCGCTTTGGAGATACTCATACCCGCTATACAAAACAGAACTAGGCAACACTGTTAAAATTATATAAGTTATAATTTAATATAGGCTTGGTAGGTTGTTACTGAACCTTTCTGTAGAGGGTACAAACCCCTTCTTGTACTCCTCTCTCTTCCTAATCAAACCACCTTTTCTTCTCAACATTCTCTCCCTTCCTAGATCCGTTTTCCTCACGCTATTCCATGGCGGCCTTCCTCCTAGTATCCTAGCCAACCTAGCCTCCTAAGTTTAAGAACCTTGAGTCCTAAGTTTCTAAGATGGTATCAGAGCAGGAGATCCTCCCTGCTGGACCGCCTCCTCACGCTTCCGCCATTTACTCCTCACCATCATTCGCTCGAGCGGCCATGGCGGCCGCGTTTTGCTGCAGTGGCGACGTCGCGCTGCCACTGGCCGCGTCGTGCCGCGACCGGCTCCTTGTTGCCTGCCGTCGCGGCACCAAGCTGTCGCGACGGCCCCTTGTTGCCTGCCGTCGCGGCACCAAGATGTCGCGACGGTCCCTCGTTGCCTACCGTCGCGGCGCCAAGGTGTCGCGACGGCCCCTTGGTGCAGCCGTCGCCCGTCCGCCTCGCCGCTGCGACATTGACGGTGCGCTGTGGCGGCGTCTGCGGCAGCCGACGGCATCGTCGGGCTGCGGCCGGCCGAGCGACGTCTGTGGCGTCGCCGGGCCTGCCGCCCGCTCGCCACAGACGGGCGTCCCTCAGGACGACGTCCTCCCGCCAGTAAGCGCCGCGCCATTTATGGCGCGTCGCTGAAGACTCGCCTCGCCCCGCCCCCTCCCCTCCCCCCCCCCACCTGCACCTGCTTCCCCTGCATCCCCCCCTTTCTTGCTGCAGCCGATGACTGCCATGTGAGGGACCTCTCCACCGCCGAGGAGACAGGACATGCCGCCGAGAGGGCGGGGGCCGCCGCACCAGCCTCTGTCGTTCGAGCCGCCGGCGCCGCCGCTGTTGCCGCAGGCCTGGAGCCGCCGCACACCGCCGCCGCCGCCGTCGTCGTCACTGTCGCTGCTGTCGCCATTGCCGTCTCAAGGGGCCGTGAGACCTACCCTCTTCCGGAGTCGTTGCGACTCCTGCTGGGAATGGGGGTGCTGGGCTAGGGGGTGTAGGTGTGGGTGTGGGTGTGGGGGTGTGTGTGGGCTTGACACTATCAAGCCTAGGGGGTGTGTTAAAATTATATAAGTTATAATTTAATATAGGCTTGGTAGGTTGTTACTGAACCTTTCTGTAGAGGGTACAAACCCCTTCTTGTACTCCTCTCTCTTCCTAATCAAACCACATTTTCTTCTCAACATTCTCTCCCTTCCTAGATCCGTTTTCCTCACGCTATTCCATGGCGGCCTTCCTCCTAGTATCCTAGCCAACCTAGCCTCCTAAGTTTAAGAACCTTGAGTCCTAAGTTTCTAAGAAACACTTCTACACCCGGATTTCACAATCATGAGCTAGTGCAAAGACTCAAGGGCGTGCTTTTAAATAATTACTTTTTGACACAAAGCTTGACGGGGTCATCATTTCTGGGATCCTAACCGTCAATCCCTGTGAAATTGATCCGACGGTTACTTTCTGTGTACTTGTAAGGAATTTCCATTCCTTACTGCGTCGTCCGCTACCGCGTACACCCGAACACTCCGCCTAGTCACGTTCGGCCTACATTTTCGGCCCAACCCTTTCTCGAGTCGCGCCCGACAGCGTCGCCACATTGCCGAACCTAACCACGTCCCGAGGTTATCGCCCTATTATGTCTATTCCTATATAACCTCGTGTTGTCATTGCAATAGTGACGTTGTATTCTCATTATAGTACATTTACATCTTCTAAATCATAACAGTACTGTCCACCCTGAAAGGCGACCCAGGGTTACAGCAATAACTCACCCAGAGCTTTCCTTACCTCACCACCACTGGTCCAGCAAGGCAAGGCAGTTTGCTGTTCCTAAGCCTCCATGATTCCTCTCTTCCTCCGATTTGTAGAGCTCTGCTGTGGTGTGTGCTGTGCACACCCCGCCTGATCTGCTCGGTGCGCTCGCTTTGTTCCTTTTAGGTCGTGTCGTCCCTGTCGCGTGATTGGCGTGTTCGCTTGACTTGTGCTGCGCTACATTAGTCTCTCGTCTACCCGGGTCTCGGTCTTCTCTCTGTCGCATCCGTCGCCGTAGCAGGTCGCACAGTCGCGTCGCGTCGTCGTTCCGCTCATTTTAGAGGCGCTTCAAAACTCGTCTCGCTCGTCTCTCTGTCGCATCCGTCGGCATATCACATCCGAGTAGCATCTGTCGCATCCGTCGCCGTACCACATCCGATTAGCATTTGTCGCATTTGTCGTCGTGTCTCATCACAGAGTTGCATTGTTTCATTCCTGCGTGGAGGAGGCCGTGCCACGTGCGATCGTGCCTTGAGAATCGCGCGATGCGCCACGTGTGATGTGTGATGTGGCATGCTGCAGGCAACGGTACAGAACTAGCGGAGGGGAGGGAGAAACGGAGACTCACACGGAGACTACGGTCCAGTACAGTACAGCACGGTACAGTACAGTACAGGGACGCAAAGCCTAGTCAGCATTTACACAGAGACTAGTACCGTACAGTAAACGGACGCAGACTGCCATTCTTTCCCTGGAAGGGAGCGATCAGGGCCGTTTCTTAGTCGACTCGGCAGTTTCTTTTTTCGACTCGGCAGTTTCTTTTTCGTCTGCCGCCGTGCGACTGGTTGCGCCATTATTTAGTCGACTCAGCGTGCCGTTTTTCGTCCGCCGCCGTGCGACTGATTAGTCTGATTGGCCGTTCGTCTGTCGTCATGCGACTGCTTAGTCTGATTGGCCGTTCGTGCGACTGCTTAGTCTGATTGGCCGTTCGTGCGACTGCTTAGTCTGATTGGCCGTTCGTGCGACTGCTTAGTCTGATCGCCTGTCATGGGGGGCCTGTCGTCGCCATGCTCACACGCGCTACTGTACACTGAGCAGCTCATGAGTCAAGACGCAACGCAGCAGCATCGATCGAAAGCCGAAAGCCGTGAGTCGTCGTGAGTTGTGAGTCGTGACTCGTGAGTCCTCCTGACGTAGTGTCTTGACTCGGGGTTTGAGCCACCTCCCTCCAGTCTCAGGGTCTCTGAGCCATCTCCCCCGGATTAGGGTTTGGCTGAGGGTCTGATTGCCCGTAAGTCTGCCTCTGAAGGCGAACGTAACCTTTGTGTGGCTGGGATAGGTTAGGTTTTCCCCGAGCCAACCAGCCCCCGGTTCGGATGGTACTGTAGCACCAATAACAGGCTGGACTCTGGTCTGTCCGTCTCGGAAATATCGTAGGCACGTGGACGATTCTTATTAGTTCGACTCAAATCATTCTTCGAGCCGACTTTCCTTTTTTTAGGTCAGCTCAGGAGAGTCGTAGGCATCGGGGGGGGCATTTTCGAGCCAAGAGCTCGACATACATGAGAGATGATTCCCGATCGTTACGCTGGGAAGCTGTTACTAGGATAAAAGTGACTGACTACCATAGATCCGTCGTCGTTTCGGATTCGATTGGGGATTCCGACAGATTCACCAGCAACGATCAGTGAGCCGTCGTTAGTCTGTAAGCGGTCGAGATTCCAATCAGACCGCCCCGTCGCTCCCATGTTTCCCCACCACGGCACTCCATCGCCAACCATCCCTCCATTCCTCTCCTCCTCCTCCTCCCCTTCCCACTCCCAAGCCTCAACCATGACCGCCGAGCCGCTCTCTCTCCCCGCCCTCCTCTCCCTCCCCGTCGAAGCCGTTTCCTCGAAGCTTCGCTCGACGCCGCCCGCGCATTTGGAGCATCTGCGCGTCTCGTTATGGGACATCCTCGGCACGCCCGACCGCAAGCCGGAGTTTCTTTCCCTCCAGCGCCTGCTTGTATCGCGTACGGGCGCCGGCGTGGGCCTCACCGCGGAGTCCCTCGCTCGCGCGCATTACACGCATCTTAAGATCCTAGTCGCGGTTCGAACCGGCATCCAGGCGTTTCTCCACCCCGATATAGCCATCCCGCCGGCGTCTTTAATCGAGATTTTCCTCCGCCGCCGCTGCCAGAACATGGCCTGTCAGAGCCCGCTTCCCGCGGGCGGCTGCCGCTGTCGGTTCTGCACGACGAGCAGCGGCGATCGGGGGGGGGCGGGCGGACAGGGAAGGAGGGGGGGGCGGCGCGAATGAGTTAACCTCCCTTGGTACTACCGCTGCTACTGCCGGTAGCAGCGCCGGTGGTGGTATTGGTGGTTCAGGTGGCGCGGGTGGTAGTAGTACTACTGCTGCTAGCACTAGTACGGAGATCGGAGCGGGGTTTTGCAATCTGTGCATGTGTGTGGCGTGCGGAAAATTCGACTTTGACACGAACACGTGTCGGTGGATCGGGTGCGATTTCTGCCTGCACTGGTGCCACACGGAATGCGCCCTTCATATGGGCTTCGTCCGCCATGGCGCAGTGGGGACCGGGGGAAGCGCAGGCGCTGCCGGGGGGAGAGGCGGAGGCGGGGGTCAGGCGGGCGCGGCGGGGGCGGCGCAGGGAGCGCAGGGAGGGCAGTCCGCGGACGGGGGAGGTGCGGGGACGAGCGCGCAGTTCGC